CCCCCCCCCCCCCCCCAACACACACACATGCTGTCTCTCCGATTCTTCTGGCAATTTTTGTAGAAGAAAAATGTGGCCTCTGGTGTTCAAATTGTGCCAAGTAGCATTAAAAGCCCTAGCTCCCTCCGCAACAGCTACAACCAGTGGGTCTCACCCTTCCAAGCTTCTTAACTTTGCACAAGCTGTTCCCTCTGCCTAGAATGCTTTTCACCTGAAAAAAGTCCCTACAAAGCCTTCATGGCACAACTCTCCGATGCCACCATCCCTCCGCAGAATTAATTCACACTGTCCTTCCTATATGTCCTTAATACAAACCTATACTCCTTTTTCTCCACCTCCCACCCACAGCAATCTGTAAAATAAAAAATGCTTTCCAGTTTCTATCTAGGTTATCCGCTAAGCCATCAAGTTCCTAGAAGTCAAGGACCAAGGCGTTTCCTCTTTGCATAAGTAATCCTAGCATCCAGCGAGACACACCGCTCACTGTTGAAGGAATAAGTATGTGAATGAGTCTTCCCCCACAACCAAATTTTTACAAGATTTAAAGGGGATTGGGAGTGGAAGGTGGGGGCGGGGAAGACCGTGTTCTTAAAGACCGTGTTCTAAAGCAATGCACCCGCCACCCGTTCCACTGCTGGGTAAGGGCACTTTTCGGCGACTTTTCAAAGGAGTGAAGAGAACAAAGCATTTAGACATGTCCAGTCGTGATACGCATTTGGGGACGTGGACTGACCGCTGGGTCACCTCCTTCCCGTCTAGTTTTTCTCCCTGTCTGCTGCTCCTCTGTAAGATGCCCACCGGCATCGTATTCTCCGCGCGGCAGGGCAGGTAGCCCACGCTGCGCACTAGCTTCATCTGTCCTGATCTTCCCGGGGCGCGCGCGTTCCTCCCAAAAAACTAACCCATCCCGATGGGCCTGAACTCCAGAGGCAACCATTCTAGGTTACACCGAGCCTCGGCGTCTCCCTACGAAGCTCCGGTGAAGATAAGGAATGGAGTGGGGGGGGGGGTCTTTTGTCCCTGGAGAAATCCATCCTCGACACTCTTCGGTTAAAGCAAAGGAAAGGCGCTGCCGGCTCGGTCCTGGGGAGGTGGGAGGGGCCGGCAGGAAGCTCGCAAACGCCCAACTCCTGGATTTCCAGGCGGGCTAGCCGCCAAAGAGGGGCGCCGGGGCGCAAGCCCAGGGAACTTTTGAGTCAACCAAGGGTGGGGCCCCTCCTCAGCCCTCTCCAGACAAACTTGCTCCCCCATCTAGGGAGGAGGCTAAGCCTCTAGAGAAGGGACATGAGGATGAAAACAGGGGTTAGGGGGTGGTAGGGAATGACCACACAGAGATTCTGGGGTGCAAAGTAGGCAGCACGTACCGGGAATGGCTGGGTAGGAATGAAAGCCTCCGACGCTGCCCCTACTTTTCTACCTCGCCCCGCCTCAGCCCAGTCTCCGAATCTACTACTAGCTCCTTGGAGAAGGAGGCTGCTAGCCAGTCTCCGATCCCCACGGGACTTGGAGGCAGGGGAGCCGGTGGAGGCGGAAGGAAGGAGATGCGCTCAGAGTCCTCACAACTGCGTCTCCGAGGCAGCACGAAGTGGGGAGTTCACACACTCGCGTTACCCTCGTGCCCCCCACCCCCCACCCCACCCCGAACTCTGGATTATAGTAAGGGAAAATTGGTTTGGAGCTTGAGAAAATCTCCCCAGACTGCCTCTACCGCTCCGATTCCTCTCAAATAATTGTTCGCCCAGCCCTGGAGGGCCCGAGGAGCGAGGGAGGATACTCCTGGAGTTCTCCCGGGGAGAGTCAGGAAGGCACCAGAAGAGATCGCGGGACGCCTGCGTTCTCCGCAGTTCTCGCCCCGCGCCGCGCCGCGCCCTCCCGAGCCCGGGCCGCGCCCGCCCGCCGGAAGCGCTCTCGCTGCGGGCGCGACTCCCGCGACCACCCCTGCCCTGCCCGGCGGGGGTCTGGGACAGTGATCTCCGCCGGTCCTTTCAAGTTCGGGGGCGCGGGGCTCCAGGGCCCGCCCTGCTGCGGATTTCGCTCCCTGGGATCGGGAAGCCGGTTAGCAGCCGCACGAGGGTGCGCCCGCGCGGCCGCGCCCCTCACTCCTGCGTCCCCGAGGCCGCGTCCTCCGGGAAGGGGCGCTTCTCGGGGACATCCTCTAGCCCGCGAGTCCCGCTCCTCAACCTTTCACCCCGAGCAGGGCAGAGAGATCCGAGGGACCGATCCACGCTGCCGCCCTTCCCCAGCCCCGCGAGGAGCCCGGCTCCTGGTCTCCCCACGCCGGCGCGGGCTCCAGGCACCGCTTTCCCCGGTCTCCCAACCGCCCCAGCCGTGCTTACCTGTCCTGGCCGTGCACACGCAGAACCACACAACTAAAATCACATCCATCGGCATCGCTCCCGAGGGTCCCCGCCGAGCGGGGCGCGCCGAAGCCAGGTGGCGACAGACCAGGCTGGATCCCGAGGCGCGC